GATGTGAACCGCGGTCGACTACATGGGAGTCCAGTGACATAGCCATTACGCTAACTGCTGGTTCCCAAAATCCTCTTGAAAAGAGAAGGGAGAAGGGACTGCGGCATGGTTAGTCCCCTGAGGGTTATTCCTCACTTCTCCTCTCTCTCTCTCTGTCCCCCCCTGGTGAGTGCGTGCACATTATAGTAAACTTTTTTTTAAGAATTGTTTATTCATTTTATTTATTTATTTATTTATTAATTATTTATTTTCATTCATTTTATTTTGACCAGAGAGGGCGAGAGAGAGAGAAAGCACGCGTCTAGGTCCAGGACTCAAACTGTAGTCAGCCATGTGGGAGTGTCCAGCGCCTCAACCACCATGCCACCTGCTGGCCCAAACACTATAGTAAATTTAAAAACAATGTTTTAATTGAAAAAGAAAAGCTTTCGGGCTGGCCCTGTGGCACGGTGTTTATACACCGTGTTGCGGAAACGACCCCACATGGCTGACCAGTTTGGGTCCTGGCCCCCTGAACTGCACGCTGGGCTCATGCACACATGCCCAGGGGCCTGATAGGCTTGAGGATGGGAAGGAAAAGGACTGAGACATGACAAGGCCCCTTGGAAGACGCTTTCTCTTCTTCAGTGTGTGCATACGCTGTCATACACACAAAGAAATAAAAGGGGGACCAGCAGTTGGCGTAATGGCTACGTTGCTGGACTCCCCATGTAGTCAACCGCAGTTCGAGTCCCAGACCCGGTGGCTTAAACTCACGCCGGGCGCGTGTGCGTGCGTGCCCCAGATCCCGAGAGGAGAATGGAGGAGAAGGGATTGCGGCGTGGCCATCCCCCCTGGGGGGTGATTTCTCACTGACTCTCCGTCTCTGTATCTTTCTGGTCCTGTAGCGAAAACCTCTCCAAAACAAAAAGGCACAGGAGGCAGGCCACACTGCCTAGTGCAGGAGCTGGATCCCATATGGCTGATCGTAGTCTGAGTCCTGGCCTCGCTGGCTGGATGAACACAGGGACACATGCCCCAAATCCCAACAGGACAGACAGATGGAGAGGGGAGTGCAGTGACCACCCCCCCTTGGAGGGTATTTTCTCCCTCCGTCTCAGTCACCCTCCCTAGCAAACACATGTACCCCAACCCCGGGCAAAAAAACAAAAACAAACAAACAAAAAACAGTGGAGTAATTCTAAAATACTTGTTGACACAGGCTTGAGGGAAATTTGGAAGAGTGTTTTGTTTGACTTTTTTTTTGCAATAGGGCACATGCCTGAGAGGAAAAGAGAAGGAAGGTGAGCAATCACCCCGGGGGTGTGGGGGTGGCCATGCCGCAGTCCCTTCTTCATTCCCTCGGGACCTCAGGCATGCGTGCACACGTGCCCAGCGTGACGTTCAAGCTGCCAGGTCCGGAACTCGAACTGTAGCGCTGCTGGCCATGTGGGAGCCAGTGCCTGACCCACCGCGTCACCGCCTGGACTGAAACCTACTGTCCAGGCAGATGTTCTAGGGGGCGATACCGAGGTCTCTCCCGCTTGGTTGTACACACCGTGCTGAGGACGCGCTGAGGCGGTTTTACTTCTGACTCCAATACAGTTAAAGGCAAAGAACACAAGGGAGGCAACCGAGGCAGAGGTGCGGGAGCTTGGGACGGGGAACACACTGGCCCCTCCCGGGGCCTCCTGCACCCGCACACGGAGCCGCCCACGCCCGGCCGCGGCTCACCTTGTCCTTGAAGTCGGTGTGGTTCTGCAGGATGGCGCGCTGGTAGGTGCCCGTCCGCACGTAGTCCTGCATCATGTTCTGCTGCTGGGACAGGTAGCCGTAAAACTGGAACAGAGACACGCCAATGGCACAGGGCACGCAGCGGGCAGAGGGCCGAGGCCCGGGCCATCCTTGCGACGGGGGGCGGCCGTCTCGAGCACAGACCTCCCTAGGGAGGCCTCATGCCCTCTGCCAGCCTGGACCCCACTGGCACCTGCTGGCTGCTCCAGGAGAGGGAGCAGGGAGTGGAGGGCAGCCCCTGGGAGGGCCACCGCCATCACGGCGGGGGGGGGGGG